TGCCTGCCTTATTCCTGCACTTACTGGATTGCAAACAAAGTACTCCTTGTCTCTCCCTTGCAGCGAACCTTGCTTAGCTAATGTCATTAGTCAAGTTAATCAGGGAGAGTGGGCACTTCGATGGCTGCTCTATAGCCTGGCTGCATTGCCATGGAGACAAGCAGCCAAACAGGCATTTTACTTGCCCCGCTTCACTCTGCAGAGATTTGGCGTGAGAAACCAATATTTTATTTGCCATCAACCAATAAACTTGCTGAGGATGTGAGTAGTTTTTCAAGGGCGCTATCAAGAGATTGGGAAGGGTCTAGCTAATCTTTTAAAGAGCAAATAGTAATGCTGCTACTGAAGGAATTCCAGGGTCTGAATGTGCATCCCGCATCCCATGGTGGTTTGGCTCTGGTAGGAGCTGTGTGAGAGGAGTTACAGCCCAGTAGCTTGGGTTCGTGGCTGCCATTGAGGTGTCATCAGTCTTCTTCAGCTGGGTGGTTTCATAGGTGGCTATTTGCCTACAGGAGCCATGACCATCATTTAAGACACTTTGAAAAGCACCAAGTCCTGTGTTTAAGAGCATCTCGGGAGCCTGAAAGCTCCCCAGCAATTTGTGGGATTTAGGAGCTGGCATGCCTCAATCACGTTTGAAACTCGTAGGCGAGTGCTTTTGAAAACTGTACACTCCGGCTGACCTCTTGCATAAGGCAGGCTATAGAGTTTCACCCACTAACTCCTGCACCAAACCTATAACTGCTTATGCATGTTACAGAGCTTGCAAGCTGTCCTGCCCCTCCCTCTCCTCCCTCTCGCATGTGCATGTGTTAAATGATGCATTGAACAGGTTTGGAAACGCTCCCTCCTGCAGCCCCGGCAGGCAGGATGGCTGGGATCTGGAGGCACCTATGGGAAGGACAGCCACCTGCTAGCCCCCAGCCTGCTCCACAGGACAGCAAAGGAAACCTCGCATCAGCACAGAAAGGGCAAAAGTTCAGATCAGATTGTTTATGGGATTTTATGGAGCTGGGAGCCAAGGATAGCTCAGCTAATCCAGAGGAAACTGTAGCAATGGCGTTAGAATGCATTTCACATGGGATTCATTCAGCATGCGTTCAGATGGACCAGTCTTTCTGTCTCCATTTTTTTAGCCATGAAATATTTTTCTTTGCACTCCTGTCTGCCAGCTGCACCGAGCCAAACTTGGAGCTAGGCTTTTTTAAGAAAAAAAGAAAAAGAAAAAAAAAAACCAACCCAAAACCAAAACCCCCTCTTGTCGTTTGACCTGCCACTGAGTTAGCAGGGCTTCAGCACAGCTCCCAGGAACACCAGTGCCAGGTGCTGGTCTGGCGCCTGGCCACTACCAGCCAGCCTCCACTCCCGCTTGCCTCAGCATCCTTTGCTTTTTTCCAAGCCACGGTGTAGCACTTGCCGAGTTGAAGCCCTGGTGAGGACACTAGCTAAAAGTGCAGCTAAAAGGACACATGGGGAGGGCAGGAAGGCAGCAGCTTCGCTGTGCCCTGCTGCTCCTCAGCACCTGAAGCCGTGCTGGCTTCATGGGCTGTGCCAGCCCTGGCTTATCCTCCTGAGTCTCCAGTGTCCCGTGTTGAGTCTCAGCGTGAGCCACACATGGGAATAAGGTTTTCCTTTTAGGTGCAGTGAGACGGCCTCATTAAGCTGTTTGTTGCAGATCTTGGCTCCCTCCTTGTGTCCTGAGCCACAGACCCCATTCCTCTGCAGAAGAGGTGACCTGGCTTAACTCTGGGTGCAAGTGCCAGCTCCTTCGCTGTCCTCAGCCCTTTCCCTCTGACCCTGGCAGGCTCTCATATGCTCTGGATTAGCCCAGCTGTGACGTGTCCCTTCTGGAAGCTGCTTTCCTCTCCCTGGGGACTAAATCTCTGTGTTTGAAATGAACCAGTCTAGGAGTTAGCACGGAGCAGCCCCACGCTGTTGATCCCTTTCATGCTTGCAGGGCTGCTGCAACAGGGTGCGTGTGGGGAGCAGCTCCGTGAGCCCTGGGTGATCCAGAGCTGGGAAGGACCCTCCGTCCCTGCAGGGTGTTTTGGCATCAACCCACAGGGCAGTGAGCCTTCCTGGGCCACTGTGGTTCATTAACCTGAGCTGCCACAAACCAACCCATCGGGTCGTGGGGCTTCTCTTGCCCCCGGATACAGGGCATTGTCCAACCTTGTCCGTGTTATCTGCTCCTTGGAAGCACAAACCGCAGCCATGTCTCGCAAAGTCAGCCCCCGCCTTTGGGTGATCAAGCAAGACAAATGGCTTTTCAACTCTGAATATCTGTGGTCACATCCTGTGCACCTTGTCATGGGTGCAAAGCTCCTGGGTGCTTCCTGATAAGATTTTCCTGCACATGCAGTCAATCCAACCATGTGCCAGGTACCTACTCTTGATGCAGGCTGTCTTGGATGCTGTCTGGGGGCTGGTGCTCCAGGTGTGGACATGTTGAAGGGGAAGAGGACAGGGTTTTGCAGAGCAAAGTGGGAAGTATGTGCTGTTAGTTTTCCTTCAGGTGTAAAAGCATCCCTGGCAGGAGGGCACTCAGGTATTAGCTTCAAATCAGTGCTGCCTGCAACATCAGAACAAGGCTATCTCCAGGAAAGTTTAAAAGCCCCAAGCCCCAAAATGGTAAAACAGAATACAGAACTTAATAATCAGGTGGAAATTGCATCCAGCCCAAAGTGTCGCTGGAGGTAAAAGGTAAAGGCTTCACACTCTAGTGCGCAACGGGAGCAAGAACAGCAGGGGCTGCTTGAGCACTCACAGTGTTCCTCTCTAGGAGATGAGATAAGCACGTTGCACCTGTGACAAAAAAGAGATGCTGTTCGCAGGTGTTTATTGATCTGTCTTTAAAAATGGGTTTACACCTCACTCCATAGAGGCCACATTTCGAGGGAGGCACAGGAACTCCATGGCCAGCCTTTGCCCACGTGTGCATCTGTGGAGCTGGCACTAGCACTGGAAATGTCTCCCTTTTTCTTTGCACCAAAGCCCACAGGAAGGAGAGGTGCTGCCTTTCACAGCCCGTGCTCTTCGCTGTGCCTTGCTGTGAGCTGGCTTGCGCAGAAAGGGCTTCCCAGGTACGAGTATGGGCCAGCACAGCCTCGCACGTGTCCTCAGGCCACTGTGTCCCACGTGCCATCTGCAAGCGTGGGAGCTGGTGTGTCCACCTGCACCCAGGAGATGGGCCTGGCCGTGCCATAACCCGCTGGGTGCCGCTCCCTGCCCTGCCTCCCACCCCTGGGTGCTGTGCAGCCGGGGTGCCCAGCACCCTTGGGCCATGCTGTCCCGCAGCCCCGCCGGTGCCGGTGGCCATAGAGGGACCGATGTTGCCATCTGCTGGCTTAGCTGCACAGGAGCAGCAAGAGCTTGGCTCAACCCTCTTGGAAGTCGCCCGTCACAAGCGTGTTGGGACCCTGCTCCCACACCAGGCTGCAGGCGCATTGCCTACCCCCTGGCCCAGCCCTTGGCCTTCTGGTAGCATCTGCCCATCGACGGGTGTTTCAGGGGACAGGATGGGTGGCCCATTCACACTTAGGCTGTGCTGCTCCCCACCCCTTCCTGCACTGCTCATGCGAGAGATGGGTGGCCCATTCACACTTAGGCTGTGCTGCTCCCCACCCGTTCCCGCACTGCTCATGCGAGAAGGTGTCCCTCCTGCCCTCCCTGCGGGGTCTGAAGTGTTGGCCTCTGGCACAACACGCTCTGGGAGAACCCACGAGGCTCTTATTAAGGGAGCTCCTTCCCATTAAAGATGAACATTTCCACCACTGATTATCACCCTCAGGTACTTATTCCTCCTCTGGGCTTGTCTTTATTTCCTTTCTCTTTTGAGTTCTTGGCAAGTACTCCCAGGCTGGGAACGTATCACTGCTGTAGCAAGTACCCCGGGAGCACAGCACTCTGCACATCTCCCCTGGCCAGTCCCCCCAGCAATGGCCAGGGCCAGGAGCTGCAGGACCACCAGCTCCAGCCTGGGTCCCCCAGCTAGCCCTGCAAAATCACTGCTTTCCCTGCAAGAGCAATGGGGCTGAGCCTGCGTAATCAGTGACAGATCGCTCGGGCATTGCTCGGAGGATGAGGTTACTTCTGTAAATCTATTAGCTTTTTTGGCAATTAGCACCAGTTAGGAGCCCTGGAAATACATGCAGCAAATAACAGGAAGCCCAGTTAAGCACATCTCTCTGCTTATCTAAGCTCAGTTAAACAAGTCTCCTGTGGCACAGCCCTACAGCTGGTAGCACAACTCATAAATGCTCCAAAGATGATCTCTAGCGCTGGGATTGCTTTTCTTTGCAGTGTGTAGCCCCGGAGATTTACGTTCAATGCTTGTACCTTCAGAGGCAGAAGCAGGGGCGGGGGCTCACCCCAGCCTGGGGTACCCCCAGCAGTCTGCAGGTTGCATGGAGGAGCCCCCAGAGTCCTTGCATCGCCTGAATGCCAGAGGCAGCCCCGCGGTGAGCTGCGCTGGTGGCTTGCCCTGCCCAGGGGCTGCGCTGCGTCTTGCTCTGGGTGGAAGCCCGGCGCAAAGGCCGAGCTCTGTGGCTGGGCTTGACCACACATGTCGAGCTCGGGATGGGGGAGCGAGCGAGACGCTGTTTTCTCTGGCCCGGGAAGACAGCGATATGTGTTTGTTTTCTGTGCTATCTCTTGCACAGCATTTGTTTTGCTTGTCGAGCGTTTCAGGAGATAAAATGATCTAAAGGGAGATTATTTTATCCTAATTTAAGCTGTCAATTTATCACTGACTTCTGCTTGTCTGCGCCAGCAGGACGGCTTGCTCTGAATCCCCAGGGAAACCTCAGCTATAAACTGAGAATTTTTTTGGGGGGGGGATTTGCTGCAGTCTCACATCTAATCTTTGCTTATAACAGCAACTACAAGCTGCTCCCCAGTCCCCCCGTGTCATATTAGTTCCCATCACTATGGACTGTCTTGGCTTCCCAGGGGACTCCCCTCTCTAACTGGGGCCCGGGGTTGTTTTTCTCATGCCGCAGGCTGGTGGAAGAGTTCATGCTGCTCGCGAACATGGCTGTGGCCCACCAGATCTACCGCTCCTTCCCCGAGCAGGCCCTGCTTCGTCGCCACCCCCCACCCCAGACCAAGCTGCTGAAAGACCTCATGGAGTTTTGCAACCAAGTTGGCCTTGACATTGACTTCAGCAGCGCGGGGACCCTGCACGTGAGTGCTCTGGCCCAGTGGGGAGCAGGGCTGTGGGGGCGAAGGGTGGGCAGCTACGTGATGGCATGTTTGCAGCAGCATGTCATTTATTCCCTGTCCCACTCTGCCCAAGCAGAGCTGACAACTATCCCATGCCAAAACGAAACACCTCACTCACTCACTCTTGACCCCACCAGTGCTGGGCAAGGGTGTCCCAGCTGTCCCAGTCAGCTGATATTGTGCACAGAGCTTAGAGCAGGGTGAGAAGGACCTTGCAGGTGACCGCAGTGCTGCCCTCTCTGCAATGGGAAGGATATTTCAGTGCTGGGACACTCACTGGGACACCCGCATTTCCTTTCTCTGCCTTCTCAGCAGGTCCTGGGCAGGGCACTTGCTCTGTACCGAAGGAAAAGTAGCTCTGCAAAGGGGTGTTTCTGTCTGGGCTGCTGAAGGTCTCAGGGAGGGCAGGGTGGAGAGCAGGGACTGGGAAGGACTAGAGAGTGGTGCTGGGAAAGGTCAGATACAGCCAATGCGGGAGGTATCTGACCGATCCTCCGCTGAGCGTGTCCTGAGGCTGAACTCCGGCTGAACAGCACAGCGCAGGTTCCAGGATTTTCTTTACTCGCTGCAACTGGACTGTGGATAATCCTCTGTTAATCCTATCCCCGCTGGCCTCCTGCACACCCCTCCATCAGCTGGGACTGCTTTCCCCGCTTGCTGGCTGCACTGAGGCTATGTCAGCAGATGCAGGGCTGTGCATTCAGCTCCTCTTCCGCACTTTGAACCCTCCGGCCCTTCCTCACTGCTAGCCCCAGGCAGTGACCTCCCATATCCACATCTCCCCAGAGTCCCATTGGTCCATGCGCTGAAGCCCTCAGTAGCTGGATGGGAGTCAGGCACAGGTCAGGAGAGGGGTTACAGGCGCTCTCGTACGCTGCATGTCTGCAGACAGAGCCAGTGGTCCCTATGGCCCAGGTGCTTGCTGCTGTTGTCCCTGGGAGGTGGGTCAGCGGTCAGAAGGACTGTGTGTGCAGTCCTGTTGGGGCTGCTGGAACCAGAGCAAAACCCAATTTCACGTGCACTTTTGGGTTTACGAGGAGATTTGCAGGGAAAGGAGGAATTTGGCTCTGATGAGCTGCTGTTTGCCCCAGTAAAGTCTGCCTGGGTCCCCCTACTGCCATAGCTTGCCAACACTGAATGCTCTCTCACTCTTTTCTCCTCCAGAAAAGCTTAAATGAAACATTTGGTGCTGACAAATACTCTGAAGCCAGGAAAGAAGTGCTGACCAACATGTTCTCCAGGCCCATGCAGGTGAGAATGGCACTGTGCTGTCTGGCTGTAGCTGTCTGCTGTGGCTCCATCTTCAACCCTTGCCCCTTCTACATTACCATAGCTGGTTACTACATAGAGGGAGAGTGAAGGGACACCTAACATGGTGCTGCAGGGCTGCCAGCAGCTTCCCCCCGTGCCTCCAGCCCCGTGCAGCTGGCAGTGGGGGTATCCCCTGGACAACAGAGCTTCAGTGGATGGCAGGGTCAGGCTGAGCCTTTCGTCACCCCCGCATAGTGTCCCTGTTATTATTGGTTGGGATGTTTTACCCTTGAAGTTGCATGTGGGATGTTAGCAGACTCACAAAGACCCAGCCTGCTCTATGAAGAGGTGGTGGTGGGCTCCATGGTTCATGTTCGTGCCATTTCTTCACATCGTGGTATCCCAACTGATCCAAAGAAAGAATCAAGAGCGAGGATGATGTAGGGGTGTGGGACTGGCCTTAAAGCACAATATGGTACCTGGACACATGCTCTTAGAAGCAGGGAAACCCTAGAAACCCTTTGGTCTCCCTCCAGACCAAGAGACCTTCTCTGCAATGGAGGCTTGTGCTGCTCACACTGATTGTCGTGTTTGGTGTGTCTGCAGCTCAAGACACTTATTTGGGTGCTTATCACCATCAAAAAGAGTTTTTGTGAAGCATCTGCCTGTCTACATTTGCAGCTGGGCATAGCACAGCCTCTTCTGAGTGTAGTCCTACCCCACAGGGAGAAGGGGCACATTCCTGAAATGGTGTCTCTGCTGTGGCCTGCTTATCGCTGCAGGAATGAATCATCTCCCCAACATCACTCATTTGACTGTCACTCTTCTAATTAGCTTATTTGCTCCATTTACTCATTAGCAGTTGCCTGAAGTCCTGCTGTACTTTAGTGACTTAATGCTTGCTTGCAAGTGGTATTGGGGACTGAAGCCATTCAGTAAATCACTCGCTCATGTATGTGTCCAGCTCAGGAGTGCTGCTTTGTAAAGTGCAAGGAGTATCCTCTGGAGCTGGCTGTGTTGTCCCAGATCCCATGTCCTGCTTTTACTTGTCCTGGTCCCTTCTGTCACATCTTCCTCTTCCGGTGGAAGGTGCTAACAAGTGAATGCACCGGTGACATGCATTCCCTGGGGTCCCTCTCTGGTCCTGCTGACTGTGGTGCAAGCCTGGGCTTTGCCAGCAGCAGCACTTGGAGCAAGCCTGGCTTTGGGCCAGGAGGGATGGGCAAGGAGAAGGCAACTTGGTTCTGCCCTGGCACCAACGAGGAGATGAGCTTTTTGGGACTCACTGACTTGCTGAAATTTTGCCTCTGTGGTTTCCTGAGGCTGTGGTCTGAGAAGTGGTGGGTGTACTTTGAGGTACTTCCCAGTGGCTCTTGTTAAGATTCAGCCCTGTGAATACATGTTAGATCCATACACAAAAGAGGTATCAAGGTTTTGGGGGTGAAGTCTTCTGCGAAGTAGATACCAGACAGAGAGCTTGGGGAAGAAGAGAAACTTTTAAAGGAGATATTCCATGAGACATGATTGTGGCAGGAACTAGACTCATTTCATCATCAGAAGACCAAAGTCCCCGTGTGTTCAGTTGTGCTGTGCAGTCCACTTGGGCCTGGCAAACCTGCTGTCTGGCACACTTCCATAATAGGCAAAACACGGTTTACAGCTGAGCCCATTGGCCCGGCAGGGCAGCCTGTGTGTGGATGGTGAACGGCCTTCCCATCTTCTGGCATTCCCATCTGCCGGTGTTCCCTGGCAGGGTGGTATTGCCACGCATGATGGGGTGCTCTCATTATTGGAAGTGGTGCATGAGCCAGAAGCAGCAGAAATCTGTCTTGATCCTGGGGTGAGCTTATGCAGTTGGCCATTTGCTGAACTGTTGTTTAGCTTGTAAATGGATTTTCAGACTTGCCCAAAGCCATCGGCCAGGTGGGCAGACACTCTTTAGGGCCTTTAGGGTCTTTAGGGCCACTTTCAAATATGACCCAGGATGTGCTCATGGCAGTGGACCCATACGACCTCCAGTCCATGGAAGGACCATGGTGCTGCGGGGGTGAGAGGCATCAGTGTTGCTTTTTGTGGTCTCTGGTCCCTGATCACACTCACTGCAGAGTGGACTTACAGCTCCCAAAAATCCTGAGCAATTCAGATTCCCATTGTTGTTCCTGCTGCTAAACGCAGAGGATGGGTAGTGCAAAGCCGTGTCAGTGCCCCTTGGAAAGGGCAGACAGCTACTAAGTGGAAGGAGCTTGCCCTGGGAGGAGGATTTTTTGCTGTCTGCCACCAGTATTAGAGCAGATGGAAGAATCAGCCCCATCCTGCCCGTGTTCCCAGATGTCACGGTCCCTCATGGGGAAGAGGACAGATCTGAGTGTTGGCAGCTGCAGAGCACAGCCACACAGGGGCCCGTACCGGTGTCGAGGGCTGGGCCATCGCTCTGACAGATGGTGTGGCGAGACCGTCTGGTCAGGACACTGAGGAGTCACCCGTATCCGTGCACACATCTCAGCTCCCAGTGATAAAGCTGGTGTTTCAGGGACCAAGGCTGCCGTTAAATCAGCCAAAACAAGCTGCCCACAGGTTTAACCCATGGTCGTGCCAAGCCTGCATCTTCCATCTTCACTGCATGCTGATGGTCAAGACATCAGCCTCTTGTAGGAGGAGGGAGATGGGAAGCAACTGGTAATGCGTGTGTCTGGGGGAGTGCATGGATTGCTGTGCCAGGAGCCTTGTAACAGATGAAGGAGCAGCGACATACCATTTCTCAGGGGCTCAGTCACTCGGGGATTCAATCTGTCCGTGAGAGCAAAGCCGCCCCTGGTTGGCTGGGGCTGATTTATTTCCAGGCTCCTCGCAGTTCTCCGGCGACTGCGGCAATCCCTGGGGATTTGAGACCACTTGTGAGACAAATCTGTTAATGAGAAAACATCTGCTTTATGCCAGGCTGATGTCACTGGGTAGTGCTGTCATGGTGGCGAGGACAGGTATCAGATACATGTCGGACTGGGCTCCCTGCAGTGTGTAACCTTACCACAGCCCAGGGGAGTATTTTTGCTATGATACCCAAGCTGATGCCAACCTCAGTGAGGGTCATGGGCTGCCAAAAGAGTGTCAAAAATGGTGCTGGACCCAGCAGCGGCTGGGTTTGGCCAGCACCACATCAGGAAGAAGTGTACCAGGCAACAGCAAGCTGCGTGGGACCTTCAGCACCTTTTCTAACTTGAAACAAGGCAGGGGTTGCCCTGCACTGCTGGGCATAGGGAAGGGATGAGCCCTTCATAGTGGCTTGCTTGTAGCTGGGATTTTGACCTGTGCTCTGCTCTCTACCTACCTGGCATTGCAGGGACCTTCCTTCCTTCTGCCCAGGAGCCTGGCATAAGTGCCTATAAACCCCTTGTAATTTCATGCTGTCTGTCTGCACAAGGGCACTCATCTTTTCCTGCAGCAGCCTCCGGCGCTCGGCGTGTCTCCCTGCCCAACGGCGCAGAGCCTTGTTTGGTGGGAGCCGAGCTAATTGAGTGGAGACCATACTTCATGGAGTCCATCAGAAACAATTTAATTCTGGGTTGTGGAAATTGGCAGCCGCCACAGCTCCTATCCCATCTCTTGGGTCTCATAATAAGGCCGGGACCGATGCTGCTTTTTTTAACCTGCTCTATTTACTTGCCCGGATCAGTGCGTTGCTGCTCAGCAGGAGCTGGCTGTGCCACTGGGCTGGAGAGTGGAGGATACAGCTGCCCAAACTGTGGATCGCAGGACGGCTCTGTAATCAGAGCTGGCTACTCCTGTTTTTTTAAATCACTTGCTCTTATTTTTAAACGGGTTCATTCAATCGCCACTGTGCTGTGACCCTGCCACAACCCCCCTGACCCGCACAGCCTACCCTCCCTGCCTGGGCTCAGCCCCCATTGTTTTCCCAGCCCCGAGGGCTGGTGTTTCACAGATGTAAAAATAAGAGCTGTAACATGTGGGATAAGAGGGGTGGTGCAGCCAGGAGAGGTTCCCGCTGAAGAGGCTGCTGGGCAGCATGGTGCCAGTGCAGCCCCAGTGTTGGTTTAGATGGGCAGTCCAGCTGCTCAGCTTCCCAGCTGTCCTTGTGGGATGGAGCAGCGGGGATCTCAGCAGGACTGCCTCCTCCTCCTTGGTGAATAGAGGAGCCACTCATCCCAGCCCCCAGTGCTCTGCAAGCAGGCACAATGGGTGTGCAGAGCCTGCAGCCGGACCCAGAACCAAAGAACCTGGTATGGGAGCTACTCTGCAAAACCCCTTGTTGGGAGAACATCCATGGTGGGCACGGGACAGGCTGGGCTCTCCCCTGGAAGACGGGGGGATGGTGAATGAGCCCCAAGGCCTGAGTGGAAGCAGGAGACTGCTTAAACCCATGTGTGACATGAAAGTTGATGCAATCCTTGGGGCCACGCAGGGTCAGCTGGCAGCCAGCAGCTCACTGCAGTGGCTTTACCCACTTTGCTCTGTGCTCAGTTCCTGCAGCGCCTGCCTTGTCCCTGCACAGCCCGAACTGAGCAGCAGGTGAAGGACCATCAGCTGCTGGAGCTCTGTCTCGCAGACACAGACCCCTGCAGCCTCGTTCATGGTCCTGCCACCATCCTTGCTCACACCCTTCCCTCGCTTCTCACCCCTTTCAGATGGCGCTCTACTTCTGCACCGGCGTCCTGGAGGACGAGACCCTCTTTCGCCACTACGCCCTGAACGTGCCCTTCTACACGCACTTCACCTCGCCCATCCGCCGCTATGCAGACGTCATCGTGCACCGTCTCCTCTCGGCCTCACTTGGTGGGTGCCACCCGGCCGCTTGCAGAGCAGCTCTGGGTGCTGCGAGGGGAG